GAAAAGGTGGTTGGTACCTCCCCACTGGCTAGCGCTGTCAGTCCGTGCTGGGGCTGACAGAGACTCAAATTGACCCCTGTGCTGCGACTTCACGGGGACAGGACATGTAGCGACTCCCTGTTTACTGACCACTATGGACTGCTTCTGCTTCTGCAGGCCTTACCCTACCGGATCTCTATTTTGGCCCATGTAGTACCTACCGGAAAGTTCTACGTGCAGGCCTATGGTACACAAGAAATGAAATGCAGTACTGTGGTACTGAGTAGAACTGCTGAGGCACTTGAAACCTTTCACTGCCACCGACTTAACTTCGAGGATCTCAGAGAAGAACTGCTTGAGCTGAAGTTGCCTTGTCAAATCAGCAATGGTTATAAGGCTATAGAGTTTGGCAGTGACGGTTTGCCATAAGCTCTTCTCCTCAGCTCAAAGCCTAGATACTTATCAAGACGTTGCTTATGAAATGATTCATCAGGCTGAAACAAAGATGACAGCATTAGGAGTAGTATGCACATGGTTGTGTACCTGTACAATTCATGTTGGCTTGCTTGCCCATAGTTTGAGACAATGCAGGTGCGGTCTCATGAAGTTGCTCTTTGGGGAACTACCTATCCTTTTCCAGGTCTTGGTACGAGCCACATTCCATCCATGACGTGTCAGTGTGAGCATGGTGAAACGGTTTCACCCAGTTGACCTTGTACTGCAGTCACGGAGATTCGATCCCTAGACTTGTGCCCTAACCCTGTACATTGACCCTGTGTGCTGAGTGAGATTCGATCCCTAGACCTACCCTGTACCTGTACATAGACCCCATGACCTGAGTAGGATTCGATCCCCAAACCTGTCCTWCGACTTAGGTTAGTCTGTAGTTTGGTCAGTAGGACTTGATCCCTAGGTCTGTAGATTAGCAGCTAGGTCTGTTACCAATAGGCCTAGAAAGCCTGTTCTAGAAGTCTCTACTGAGTCTGTCGAAAGTCTGTAGAGTCTGTAGGTTCCAGAAGTCCGTAGGGTTTTGTAGGGGGGGTCCAGCCAGCATGTACCTGGGTAAGGGCTGCACGTGGGGAAGGTTCTGGAGCATGCAGAGAGTTCCACACGTTTTGGCCCAGAAGGCCAAACGTCTGGAAGCTTCCCTGGGCCACACGTTTTGGCCCAGGCTCACAGGTCTGGAGGCAGGGTCCGGGTACCTCCGAAGAAGTATAAATAAACAGGCAGCGTCCAGCCATTCATTCATTCGCCTGTGAGCCATGCGGAAGAGCTGCCTTGGTGTCTTGTGCATGGAGGTCTGCAGGTGCCTGGAGACGAAGTGGGCAGTGAAGAAGACAGCGGCCATAGCTGGCCCGTGGGGTAGATGTCGGCGGCCATAGTCAGCAGGAGGAAGACGTCGACGGCCATAGCCGCCCAGCTGTTGGTAAAGACAAGTGTTCAGAGTGTGTGAGGCTGTGCTGAGTGGGGACATTCAGGGTGATCCTTGTACGTGCACGCATGAGACAGTGAGGGAGAGAGTGAGGCTGGTGGTAGAGACCGTGTTCGGCGGCCATAGCCGCAAGTTGTGCAGCTGTTAAGATTGAGTTTAAGACAAGTTCATTGTTTTTTTTTTTGAGTTGAAAGAGTTCAGTCTTGCCATCGGTTCTCAAGTGTGCATGTTGTGAGGAAGTCCAGAGTTGAGTCTGATTACAATGGCCTCAGTCAGCTATGAAACCAGTTGTTTAGACCCCATTCCGAGTGTGGTTATGAACTGAAGCCTTGATTGACAGTTTTGTACACTAAAGGAAACTTTCGGCCACTGAAGGGGTGAGGGAAGAAGATGATCTCTGATAGAGGTCTACTCATCTCTGACCTCGAAAAGTTAAGATGTGCAGTAGGAACAAGGCTGGGCCGGCAACCGGTCGGTCGAGCTGACCCGGTCCAACCGGGACCGGACCGGCCCAAGGGGGGTCAACTGGGAAATCGGATGGCCCAAAAAATGGCCAATTATTTTTATTTTTGTTTTTTCTTCGCAGGATCCGACTGCGCTTGCCGAGATCTGTTGGATTCCGCAATAAAACTTTGAAGGTTGGAATTTTTTTTTAGGGGTGTGCCGGGAGGGGGGGTCGAATTCCGACAGCTATGGTAATGGAGGAGGAGGAGAAAAGAGGAGGAAGAGGAGGAGAAAGAAGAAGAAGAAGATGACAAAGAAGTGGGAGGAGAAGAAGCGGAGGAGGAGGAGGAAAAGAAGATGACGAAGAAGAGGAGAGGCAACGATGGCGCAGAGAAGGTCAGGAGGGAGGGGGGAAGGGGGAAGGATCAGGGGTGAAGCGCTGGTGGAAGAGAAGCGGGAT